GTTTGTGCGCAAGTGACTGTCCTGTGCCACACACAAAAGGCCTCCTTTTCCCCACCTTCTGCCGCCTTTCAGCCCTCGGGCCCACGCCGAGACGGCTGCCGGGACTCCGGGGGCCTCCTGGCCGCATCCCCAGGGCAGCTCGGCCTTTGGGAGTTACGCCGCTGCCAAGGCAAACCTCGCCAAACTTTCCCCAAACTCGGCGGGCTGGGGAGGGACCCTGGCTGGAGGCGCGCATGCGCCCCGCCCGCTGCTCGGCGTTCCCAGGGTTCGGGAGAGCCGGGGTGGAGTCGGACCAGCATCCCCAGAGGCTCGCCTAACCCCGGCTCCCGGGGCAGTCGGGGTTCGGGGGCTGTCTGTCTTCCCTCGAGGCTGGAAGTGGCTGCCCGGCGCCGGGCTCTCCGCAGTCCTGCTATCTTTGCGCATGGAAGTCTCCAAGAGGGGCTTCAGGAAGCGGCGAGCAGAGAGGGGGCTGAACGGCCTGAAGGAGGGCAGGAGATGGGACCCAAAGCTTCCTTTGGGGAGACAGGGGGTAACAACGCCCCCTGGCCGGGCGGGGATCCCTCGGGCAGCCGCCTGCAGAGGGCTCCGTGGCCCGGGGCGCAGGCTGCGGCGAGCTGGTTTTGCCTCTGGGCAGAGGCGTCAGCGCCAGCGGCGGCAGTGGCGAGGGCGCAGGTTTCTAACCCGCTCCTGCTTTCTGAACCCTGGGCATCTACCCTTGCTCCGCCGGGGGGTGGTCTTGGCCCTTGGGAGATCCCCGCAGCTTCACGCCAACGCTTTCCCTGGGGGGTCGGCACCAGTTCCAAACAGGCTGTGGCGCTGACATCGCTTTGGAGAGGCGCCGGCGCTTTGCTTGATGGTGGCGGGCTGTGTGGAGGCCCCGAGGCCCCAGGGAAGAATTTAGGGTTCCCGGCTAGTGAGAGGCACCCCTTCCCTGCCTCTTGTGGCACGCAGTGTGCTTCACGCCTGCCTTTGTCCCGGGAAACCAAGGCATCCTGGGCACTCCTGCACTTGGCCACTCTGTGGACTTCTGTATCTCTCTGCAGTTTGGGTGGAAGGACTAGACAAAGATCTGGATTAGGGACACACCACGGGCTCACGGGCTCCTTAAATCCTCCCTTTCCACTCCTCGTTCCGCCCCCCGCCCCCCACCGCAGCCAGATAGGAATCATTAGTCCTTCACCCCACCCCCAAGTGCTCCTAGAGAAAACTAGTTTCTTTTGCACTCGTCTTAGAGGAACTGGCACCTGGGACATTCTCACCCTTCAGGTGAAGTTTCCTCAATTATTTCTAGTTTTACGATTTATTTCCAGCGATTGCACGGGATCGCCTTTAGCTCCTTTCTTGTTTGGGCCACAGGTCCGTCCCCCAAACAGCTAGGTGATCACCTACCTTTAGAGTACAAGCCTTTGGAATGGGACTCCGGTGAGAAGGCTAGCTAGTGGATGTTTCTAGGAGTTTTATTGTGAAATCCAGTTGGGCAAGTGTTTTGAAATGGATAGCAACAGTGTGTTGGCATTCGGATTTTCAAAAGAGACGTGGACTTGAATTGGGGCAATTCTGAAAAAAAAAAAAATTATCTCCTGACCTTGGTCAGCGACATGCTAACTACAAGTAAAAGTTGTAGAAGAACCACTTCTCAGTGAAGGACTGCGGGCTGCACACCCACCCACGTACACCTAACACTGGTGCAAAAATCTAAATATTGGCGTTCAACCGTTAGGATGTGTGGGAATAACAAATGGGAGACTCCTCTAAGCAACTATTGGGAAGTTTTTCTGTACTTTTGAAAACATCCTCGATGCCTCATTTCTTTGATGCCTGCTCAATAGACACCATGAGAGGCTGGCTGAGCCGTCCCTCCCCAGCCTTCCTCTTGCGTGCAGTGCTTTCATCCAGCGCTTGAATTGTGTTGTCAACGTTTAGTAGACGAAAGAGGAGGGGGCATGAGAACTGAGGGGGGGGCGGGGTGTCCTTGAAAAGTCTTGGAAATCGGTATTTTTGCAGGTGTAGAATGTGCCTAATAACCATGGCTAGTGCGTGCTCCCCAATGGCGAGGGTATGACAGGGACAGCTGGCTCAGTTTTCAGCGTGAAAACACCCCCTCGGTGGACCAAACACAACGATACTGACCTTTCTGCGGGGGGAACGGAGATGTGCCTTTGACTGAACTAGACATAAAGACGTCTTGCTATGACTTTTGTTCCCCACGAAAGCGAAGAAATATTGCGTTTAATATGAGAAGTACTGTTCACAGCTTTTCTGTGCCCCTTAAGAAATATTACAGTGCGGATTTACTGGCCCTCTTCCACTGAGTTGGCCCCAAGGCCGGGGGTGGAGGGGGGGTACGGGGAGGCGAGGACAGAGGAGGGGGTGACAGAGGGAGTGCGCTAAACCGCCTGTTGCCTGTTTCCAAAGTTCTCCCTCTGCAGCAGCAAATTTATCAATCTTTTCATCTGACAATACTTTGAAATATATCATGTCATCCAGAGTTGTTTGATAGATTACCTGCAGGCACACAGCCTTTTTCAAGGTCAAGTTGAAGATTCTTGTTTGCTGTTTAACTGGGTTGTTTAAAAACTCAGAACAATGCCTGCCTGTTAAATTTTCACTTGTTCTCATGGGGCATTCCAAAGCAAGTTTTCCTATTGACCGGATGTCAGGTCATTTCATCCTCTTGAGCTTCTAAATTCAGCAACCGGGGCTTGGCAATGAAATCAACAGGAGAAGAAATGAGATTTAACCTTAGCATTTGCAGACACCGAGGAGACTGAGCCATCTTCCACATCTCCTCAAAGTGTGTACTAACGTTTCTCTGCATGTCACGGTGCTGGTTATAGCCACACACATCTCTTCAACTTTCTGCCTTTACTCTAGTGGGAAGCTAGAAATGCACTCCCCTAAAGTAGAAGTGCAAAGAAATTGTGGCCACTCTTGTCTCTGTCAGCACATAACCTGTTGCTCTAAGGACATTTTATAATAAAGTCAGCCTCTAAGTCGTCATGCTTTATGGACATATTTATTTATGTTTTTAATGGAGATAGGCTTCACAGTTTCCACACTATCTGCGATGATTGATTTTTTTATTCAGCCAACTTTTATTTACCTTGCGAAAATGTTCTGGACCAATGTGATAAATTACAGATATGCAAATTTCTTTGAATGGTGTTGTAAGTGTGTCTAGCTCCAGCTGAATAACGCCTTGCAAGTCAGTCTGTGCGCGCTCAGGACCCCAGGGAGCTGATCAAAGCACCCATTCTCTTTCATCCCCGGTATTCTCCTCCAAACTATTTCGATACAATATGTTTCCATGATGCACTTAATGTGCTAGGGACATAGAACTCATTACAACCTAGCTAGTTCTGCCGACCTCTTTGTTCTGAGGCAGAAAGTCAAAGAAAAAAGGAAAAGCGCTGCCCGTTGCCAGCTTTCTGAAATGCTAAAGCATGCGTCATTTTTCACCAGGTCTCGTCGTGATATCCTCAAAAGACAAACTATGAAACCGGCCTCAGCCCTTTCTGGCATTAATTACACTGCTGTCCAGCCGATCTGTTTTTCCTATTATATGCATTTCTCAGCAGGGATTTTTTTTTTTTTTGCAAGAGTAATGCAGCTGCGAGTTAAACTATGAATGCATTTTTTATCACTATGGAAAAAATAAGTGAAAAGGCTGCAAAACATACAGCTAAACTTTGTAAAGACTTCTGGTAGATGAGATCTAGGGTGGGACTTAGGAGGTTTGTGCAACATCTGTAAAACCTGAAATTGACTTAAAAGCCTCAGGCATTTCCAATGTGCCCTCAGTGTTCTGTGGAGACACTCATTGTGCCATGTGAAATTCCGCTTTGGTACCCAGATAAATCTTGAAGGTGAAACTTTTCAAGGTTTCTGTGAAAATTCTGAAATGAAACAGTCTATTCTACACCCAGCCAGGAGGCTGTCTCCAAGGGATTTCACTGTCCAGGATGATAGCACGGAGAATATAAGTTCTATTTCATTTCCTCCGTTTCTTGTAGGGTTGATTGGTTGGTGGAAATGGCTGGCAGCCAGTTCTGGGAAAGATTCCAGACCTGACTCCGATTAACCCTCTCTGGTGAAACTCTGCTGGAAACCAACTCACCAGCAATTGCCATTAATCTACTTACTAATTAAGCCAATTCATTTCTAAAGGAGAAAAATTCCTTTCTTTAGCCAAACTGATGGGAGGAAATTTGAAAGAAGCGCCAAACTGTGTAACTGTAATTCAGCCAAGGACTGCTAAAAAAAGGTGTTGATATATAGCCGCAGATTTAAAACAAGTTTCTAGGGCAACACTCCTCTGGGGACGGTGGCATACAGTGCATAGTAGATGAAGCTCGAATAATGCTCCACCGCGCTATGCCACCCCATGTCCTCGAGTTGAACACGTCTCTCTCCAATTAAATCCAGTGCCTTTTACGCACAAATAAATCGCCTCTGTAGCTTTCGTCTGCACCAGGGTATATCGGCTTTATGTGACGGCTACCACGAATATACTTCCTGAGATTTAATAAACAGCTTTAGAAATCTGCAATCCAGAGCCTACTATCTTGAAACTGGGCTGCAGACTGGGCCTGACTTGTAGTCAAGGGAACAGAAAGGACCGAATTGACCACTGCGCCGAGAAGAAAGCAAACCGGTCTTTCGGGAAATGGTACCTGACATTCCGGAAAGAATAGATATGTAAATCTTCATCTTGATCCTTACCTGGAAGCACTAGTCCAAAGAGTTTCCACACTTACTGAAGAATTGTTTACAGCGTTTAAGATACTCTGGGAGTCCCGTGCCTAGGTCGGAGCGGACCTCCTTAGAGGAAATTTAAAATCCCCTTCGAGGTTTCCTGGTTCTCCTTTATGGGATCAGTTGGCAGCAAATCAGTTCGACTTCCTGTTACAGAGAGACGGAGTGGATTAGAGAGGGAACGACACTGGCTTAGTGCCTCAAACTTTTTAATTTTAATTGAAGTCCGTTCCTTCCCACCCTAAGGCGCTGGGGCACCCCGCTGAGCCCAGGAAGCGCCGGGATGGATTTGGCGGCGGCTCGGGGTCTGTGCGCCCCGCTCACCAGGCGCCAGCAAGCGGGGTTTCCTTCCGAGCTTGGAAAGGGGCGCACAGAGCGCGCACTTGGCCTTCTCTTCAAGCGCGGTACTCCAGAGCGTGTGCGACATGTGGAGAGACGGAACAGTTATGTTAGAAACGCCTTGGAGATGGCGTCCCTTGTCAGGGAGGCAGTCCTTACGCCAGGATGGGGAGGGCCCTCTTCCTGGGGTCCCGCTCTGCGCAGCCCAGTGTCCGGCGCCTACTCAGGGGCATCCGTATCGTTGACTGGGGTGTTCTGGGGCATCGACGGCTTCTCCAAAGACTCTTCCTCCAGGGTTTCTGGCAGCCTCACTAAACATAGGGAGAGACCAAGAGATGTGAAATTTGTTTTACTTCTGTACATAAACCACTCCCCACCCATAGCTCTTTCCCTCACTTTCAGTGGAGTCTCCCAGGCCTGGCTCCAGCTGGGGGGCCTCTTCAGTAACCTCGACGAGGGGGTGAGGGCAGGTCAGTCAGGCGACCAGATCCTCCTTGGCCTTCAAAATAGCATGTGCCCGTCAAGTTTTCCCCTGAGGTAGTTTTCCTGCTGCCCCAGACTGGAGATATGGTCTGAGGTGCCTGTGACCAAGGCCGGTTCTGACTCAGGAGTTACGAGCCGTCGTAAGAGAATAAAACAAGGCAGGGGTTGTCTTGTGTTTGGGTCCTAGGATCTGACTAAGGTTTACATTTCCATTTGCGTTTTCAATCTTTCCTCCTTATGAAATAGCAAATTCTGAATGAGGAGGAAAGACAATCAACTTGGTGGGGTTCTGATGTTGGGGGGGTGGGGAGGTTTGCCCTCCCTGCTCCCCGCCCCTCCCCCCCCAGGCTGGGCTCTCTGCTCGGTAGGGAGGGACATTTACCTGGTGTGTAAATTGTGAGGAAAGCGTTGGGGGTCTGAGACAGCAAAGCCACAACATGGGATATGATGTTCCAGCTTTGAAGGGGAACAAAGGCCCTGAGCTAACCCCAGTGAAAGCCAGGAGCGTGGAGAAGGCAACAAAGACTTGCAGCCTGCGGTCACCGGTAGGTGTCAATGTGGACACTCACAGCCGGGGCAGTGGAAGAGGGGCACACAGAGCCAGGCTGTCATTCCAAGGCTTAACATGAACAAAGATAAAAACGCGACAAGCTCAGCTTTCAATGGTTGGGAGGTTCAAAGTGGAGTGCTAGGGAGTGTATCTGGGTCAAGTATTCTCTGAAGCAGGGTCCCTCTTTCTCTCGTCCAGTATCAGCCAGGGAAGTTCTAAGGCCCCTTTCCCAAGGTAACTTTTCTTACTAAAAGAAGAATCTTCAAAATAATGTCCGATTCTATCCACTGCCTAAGTTGAAGAAGATGGAACTTTCAGCACTTCCGGATCCCAGAGACCCAGGTGGCTGCATTAACTTATGAACTGTAACAGCCTACCTTAACTTTTGGGATAAAGTTCATGTACTCTTGTACGAATTTAATGAAAAGAAATAACATTCCTTTTATGAAACTGTGCATACATGTAGATGAATCAAAGGGTAACATACTTTAGAAAGTATTCATCCAACAAAGAAGTTTCAGTAGTAAACCATTGAAAGAATAATGGAGACCTAGTAGAATTAAATATACCTGTGGTTTCAGATTCCCTATTAGAAATCAGCAGACAAGGCATTTACCAGCAAAGGACTCCTCTAGAATCTGGGAAAGATAATTGGGAATCCTCCGCTAATGCAACGGATTAGCAAAGACCATCTTAGAGAACGAATAAGTGGAAATGATAACAAATTATGTTTAATCCTTAGAAGGCGGACACACTGTGTTCCTTAAATTCTGCTACTAGAACCAAAATACAAGTTTTAAAAGTTATCATATAATAAAATTCTGATTTTCTTTAGCTGAAGTATGTCTCCTAAATAATAATTTAAAAAAAGGATGTAAATATCCTTAAAAGACTAATGACATTTCACAGGTAATGCAATTTGGAAAGAAACACTTCCATGTTTTCTTTTCCAACAATGTGCATTTTTGTAAACTGCTATAAATTGCAATTCAAAAGCACTGATCTCGCCATCCCCAATCATTTTTTATACTGATCAAATGAATGCAGATACTCCCATTTGGGAGGGGCGACATGACATTTCACTTGGCAGTTCTAAACAGGTCACAGACCTTTCACAGACCCTAAGGCAGTGGGAGGGAGCTCTTTACTAAACCGTGTAACCAAATCAAACCAATGGTTACCCCTTTTCAAAACCATTGGAATGGTTTGCACAATGCTATTCACATAGCAGCACAGAAACTGAAAGGATGGTCATCCAATGGAAATTTCTTTCCTTTTGTTTACACTTGCAGAGCTCAAAAAGTAATACTTGGAGGAAAATAATTACATTTGCTATGATAAAAGTCTTAAATACTTAACATGCATTTTGGTTGGCATGACCCGGCATAGATATGGCCATCCATTGGTACATATATATATGCACATGTATGTATGTATATGCATGTATATTTATTGGAGATGTCTCTTTGTTTGAAACCTTAGGCACAAAGACACAACATGGCTGCCCTCAAGATGACCTATTGCTTTCAAGTTGCTTGAACACATCAGAATTTCCATTGTTAAGGTTGATTAATTGAAACTGATAAGTTACCATGAATAAAGATTGTTTTTCTGTTTAATGTGGTGGGCCTGATTTGGTAAATGCCTTATTCATGTAGCTTTGCAGTGCAGCATATGGGCAAGAGTCATTCAGTATCACAAACATATACAATTTATTATGCTTGTATGGGCACAACCAAAGGCCTTTCTATTTTAATGACAAAGTTTCAATGAAAAATTCCATTTAAAGAGTCACTAGGAACATGAGGTGTGATTTTGTAATTTATTCTTAAGAGTTTCCATCTCTGAGTTTCTGTGAGTAGTTTAAAAGATATCACATTTAAATACAGTTTAAAAAAAGATGCAAACATCCACATTACACCTTAGCGCTTGTCATTGGGAATACAGCAGAATTTATGGTAATGTTAGCAGACATAAGAAGAGAAAGCACCTTTTCATCTGATGCTACCTTGTGTGCTCTGCTAATGGTAAAGTTACCTTAAACGTTTCATTGAGATGCCAGCAATAAAAGCTCACACTGCCCAGTTTACAAGAAAATGCAAAGGATGCTGGTGAATAACAAGTTAACTTCCTGACACCTTTTTTCCTCCTTTACTTAAAAGCTGATGTCACTTTTCAGACTACATTAAAAACTGTCATGAATATTTACCGATAAAGGTAAGTTTTAAAATTTTTTTCTAATGATGTACAGAAACGTTTTTCTCCCTTTTTCATTTTGGCTGCTCATGTAATCCCCAGAAGAAGAATAACAACAACAAAAATCTACGAGAGATGTGCTAATGAACTAAAGAAATGACTGTATCAAACCTTCAAAGAGATAGCTACCATATTCAGCCCTTAATGTCTTATCAAATAAATTCTCTGGTCATTCATGTCCATGAAACAGTTCAAGTTCACCCAACATTTCTCAATTAAATTAGATGGGTAATCTCAGTTCAGCTCTTCGGGAGAGTAATAAACCACATTGGTCACAGTTGACCACAGCTAGTATGCGATTCATAAAGGACTGGGTGTCCATTGGAAAGCTAATCAGTGCACCGTCACTTGTAAAATCCCCTCCTGCATTTTGAAGCGATAATCTGTATCTAATTTTTAAAGAAAAATTTACTCTCCTTTCACTCTTCTGAGGCCAATTTCTTTTCTGGACCTGAATAGAGATCATTGGTGAAACAGTACCAAATAGCTCTGGTATGTGTATAACAAAAACCCACCTCTTTGTAGAACATAACAAATTATGCAATGTTCACAGATGCACTTCGCATTGTGCCTTTTGTGAGAAAATGAAGGCCCAAGTCAATTCCCCACCCCCCTCTTTATGAAAGCCTGGGCTCCCCATGCAATCTGTCCTAATCCTAGAGAAAAATCATTATACCTAATATGGAAGCTTCATAGTTCTTTGAAAAGGGATTTTTCATTTGCACTTTTGGTCTTTGTAATTTATTTGCACAAGTGTGAATCTGAAGTTGCAAGCAAATTTGTTCCTATAAACAAGCAAGGAGGATTAAAATGTTAACTGCTCCTCTAGCCCACATTTGATATTAGAGGAAATGCTGTGTTCACACAATCCCATGGCTTGAATTTATAGGCTACCAAAGAAATATAGTCATTTTTCAGTTACAATTTTAAAAAATTTACACACTGAAAATATTTTAAACATCGTTTCTGTATTTTGGCTTTTTATGATCTTTATGAGGGAAGGGGCTGCTAATGGCTAATCCTGATTTTCATGAGGTAGCAGTTTCTGCGGAAATGGTGACAAATGCAGAGAGGCATTTTCAGGTTCACCTTGCCTCGTGGGACCTCTGTAAATACTGGTATTACCTTTATTGAATGTGCTAATCTTTGAGTGTCAGTCTTAGAATAGAAATTTCAAGCACTGAGAAGACTCTCTGCATCCTCAGTGCCTCGCCTAAGTCTTTGTTTATAGTAGGTGCTCACAGTTACCATATGATGCAACAATTCCACTCCTGGGCATATATCCAGACAAAACGCTACTTCGAAAAGATACATGCACCCCAGTGTTCATAGCAGCACTATTTCCAATAGCCAAGACGTGTAAGCAACTTAACTGCCCATTGACAGATGAATGGATAAAGAAGCTGTGGTATATATACACAGTGGAATACTACTCAGCCATAAAAAAGAATGAAACACTGCCATTTGCAGCAACATGGATGGACCTAGAGATGATCACACTAAGTGAAGTCAGACAGAGAAAGACAAATACCATATGATATCACTTGTATGTGGAATCCAAAATATGATACAAGTGAACTTATTTACAAAACAGAAACAGACTCACAGACACAGAAAACAAATTTATGGTTACCAGAGGGGGATGGGGGTGGGGAAGGGATAAATCAGGAGTTTGGGATGAGCAGATACAAACTACTATATATAAAATAGATAAACAGCTAGGTCCTACTATAAAGCACAGGAGACTATATTCAATATCCTGTAATAAACCATAATGGAAAAGAATATGAAAAAGAATATACATATGTATAACTGAATCACTTTGCTGTACGCCAGAAACTAGCACAACGTTGTAAATTAACTGTACTTCAATTAAAAAAAGTAAAATCTAGTAGGTGCTCATAAAGTCTGTGGAATGAATGAATAAATAAATGAATGAATTCACAAAAAGAAGATGAAACCTAGGAGGTTAAGAAGTGTGGGCCCCTCGGTATCCACAGCCTTTCCAGTTACCTCCACGTT